GTGAGGTAGGAACCGGGAGTTCCCAGCAGGTGTAGAGCTGGTAGTCAGCTCCTATGCTACTGAGCCCTCCTTTTGGTCCCAACATAGGGGATGAAGTGGAGTTGTGGCCACAGCATTGTGCTTCCCAGCTGGAGGATGGTTGAGGAGGATCATTGCCAGTTAAAAGAATTTAGACCAGCCCCCATGCTGCTCCAAATGTTGCTGAGGCTGGTGCAGAAATGGCCAGAATGTCAGGTAGCTGTAACTGGCTAATGCCCCCCCGCCACACACACCCCTCTGCTGCACCAAACTGTCACAACAGAGAATCTTTGTTACATTGGGTATGGCTGCACTTCTAGCTGGGAGTGTAATTCCCTACATGGCTCTCTACACTCCCAAGCAGTGCCTCCCATATCTATACTGCTAAAAAATAGCAATGTAGCATCTTGCTGCCTCCCTATTGCCACAGCCTTTCCTCATGACAGCAAAGGGGGCTGCCGAAGCCTTTCACTGGTGCTGGAGCCTTTCACTGGTGGGTGTCACTGCCGTATGCAGCTACCAGTGTGGACACAGCCTGCCTTTCACTGTAGCATGTAGTTACACGTGTAGTGCTTGTACTTTACATGCCCCCATAAGTGTAGACACAGCCCTGGTGAGTTTCAGTAACATCACCTTACACATCGCCTCTGAATTTGGTCCACTAAATGGAGATGAGCCAGGTATAATAAACAAGGCAGAAGCTGAAGATCAGCAAGGATCAGATCATATCAAGATTGAAATGTAAAGGAGGGGTCTGCAGAATGGTCAATCACACACATTGGACTTAAAGAAAGCAGATGTTTAAGGAATGCAAAGTGAGCTAGAGAAAATTGGATGGAATTTCATGCCTGCGAGAAACATGAAGTGCAGAAGAGGGAAGTGTTTACGATCCAGCTGGGGAAGACAAAATCAAAATCCAACCCAGTCAAATAAAACAAAAGCCTAACAAGGGACTAGAGGCTTATGCGGCCAAGTAGGAAGGTAAAGAACAGCATGGAAGAGACAGAGGGCATTTCAACATATGATGAAGCTGGCGAGTTACAAAAAAGAGACATCACGATAGCCAAACAATTGATGAAATACATTAAACCCAATTCACCCCAGTGCAACTGTATGGATTTTAGTGGAGTCATGCCAGGAATGAATTTAGCCCTTAATGTTAAACAAGCTCTTGTCTGAGTGTTTCCCATTTTGATTTATTTCTCAGAGCTCTAGGCCTTTGCACAACTTAGAAAATATATAGTCACAAAAGGATCAGATTTATAGAGGGATTTAGGTGCCCGAAGATGCAGCAAGGCACCTAGTGAGATTTAGAGAAGTGTCCGAGTCCCATAGATGTCAATGAGAGTAAAGCACCTAACCTGCTTAGGTGCTTTTGAGTATCACACTAGGTGCCTATCTGCATCTTTAGGCACCTAGATGTCCTTGAAAATCTGGCCCAAAGGGCATAAAAATGTAAAAAGCCTCAACCCCAACCCACTGAGCTAATCAGCTAAACCACACAATATAGGAAACAATTAACGCTCTTCTCCCTCTACATCTCAACACCAAGTCCTCTCCCTTTTCCTCAAAAGCCGGAGGAAACAGATGGGTTTTGCAGTGCGTCCTGAATAGCAAGAGTTTCAGGTTTATTTGGAACTAAGCTAAAAATGAGTTCCAAAGTCCTGGGATCTATGTAGAAAATACCTAGCAGCAGCCACCTCCCTGTTAGAGGAACCCCTGCTGAGGCCAATATCAAACAGAGGGAGAGGGGACCTCCCAAGTAGATAGGACACAAAGCATTTAAGACTCAAACAGAACTTCACCAGGAAATCAACTGGCAGACAGTGTTCATGGAGATGCCACACTTCACAAGCAAGCAGCCACGTTAGTCCAAGTCTCTGAAGTCTTAAGGTGTAGCCCCATGTAGAGCACATCTGGTTCAGATAAGACAGGCATGGATGTCATGGGCATACGGAAGGCACCACAATCCATGGCTTCTCACTATAACTCCCAACCTAGGAGCCTGCAATGCCCTCAGAGAATAATAATACTTGGCCCTTCCATAGCAGTTTTCACCCAGGGATGTGAAAGTGCTGAACAAACAATTAAGCCTCACAATACCCTGAGACGGAGATGAGCCTTAACCTTGTGCAGATGGAAACTCTGAGGCACAGAGTGGTTAAATAACTTTCCCAAGTCAACACAGCAAGTCAGTAGTAGAGATGGAAGTAGAAGAGGAGGTTACTCACCTGTGCAGTAACTGACGTTCTTTGAGAGGAACATCCCCGAGGATGCTCCACTCCAGGTGCTGGGGCGTCCCTGCGCCTTCGCTCGGAGATTTGTACAGCAGTACCCACATGGGCTGTGCACATGCAGTGCCTGCCTCGTGTGCTGCTGGTGCCTTAACAGCGCGTGCGCGGCCGTGACCTCCTCAGCTCATTCTCTACAATGGAGATCACTCCAAACTCTGAAGTAGAGGGGAGGAGGGTGGGTAGTGGACAGGTAAGTAACCTCCTTTTCGAGAGAGAGAGAGGTCCCTGTGGGTGCTCCACTCCAGGTGACTGAAAAGTAGTATCTCTAGGATGATAGGGACTTCAGATCTGGTGAGAAAGCTGTGGACAGCACAGCTCTGGCCATTCGAGTGTTAGTCAAGGGTCCCTGAGGAAGGATGCAGTGTTTGGGAAAGGGGTGCTCCAAAGCCCAGGTGGCAGCCTGGTAGATGTCTATGAGGGGAATGTTACATAGGAATGCAACAGACGTTGACACAGAACGGGTAGAGTGTGCCTTAATAGAAGTTGGAGGATGTATCTTCTTTAGTTGGTAGCATAAACGAATGCAGTCTGATATCCAGTTGGATATTCTCTGGGTGGATATTGATTTGCCCTTAGATCTCTCTGCGATTGAGATAAAAAGTTTAGGTGAAGTCCTGAATGGCCTAGTCCTATCCAAATAAAATGACACTGCTCTGTGCACATCAAGTGTGTGCACTGCTGTTTCAAAAGAGTTTGCATGCAGTTTAGGAAAGAAGGTAGGTAGATGGATAGGTTCATTAAGGTGGAATGATGAATGTACCTTTGGGAGAAATTTGGGATGCGTTTGGAGCATGACTTTAGCCTTAAAAAAGATAGTGTAGGGTGGGTCAACCATGAGAGTTCCAAGTTCTCCTACACATCTGGCAGATGTAATTGCCACTAAGAATGCAGCTTTCATAGATAGGTCTAGTTGACAGCAGGATGCTAGTAGTTCAGATGGCTTTTGTGTCAAACATGTGAGGACCAAGTGGAGGTCCCATGGTTGAGTGGGTGGTCTGATGTCTGGGAACAGGGTCTGGATGCCTTTGAGGAATCTTTTTGTGATAGGGTGGGTGAAGATAGTGGTGTCACCGATCTTCTGGTGAAATGCTGTGATTGCTGCTGGATGTACCTTTATGGAGCTGAAGGGAAGCCCAGATTGTTTGAGCTCCAGAAGGTAGTCCAGTATGACTGGAAGAGGTGCAGAAGTAGGAGCGGATTGCCTGGCAGAACAGCATGCCATGAACGTAGACCATTTATGGATATAGGTGATGCGTGTAGATTGTGTCCTGCTGTGTAATAGTACAGTTTGCACCTGCTCGGAGCAGCCTAGTTCTTTGAGAAGCCATGATTTGCGGTGGAGCATTCCTATGTTTGGGTGACATAGATGGCCCCTGCATTGGGACAATAAGTTCAGAAGCAGGGGGATGGGAGATTAGTGGACAAGTGGACATCCGTGTTAGAAGTGGGTACCACAGCTGTCTGGGCCACATAGGGGCAGGTCAGACTAGGTGATCACAGTTGTCAGGGTTCCCTCCCCACTCTGAACTCTAGAGTACAGATGTGGGGACTCGCATGAAAGACCCCCTAAGCTTATTTCTACCAGCTTAGGGTAAAACTTCCCCAAGGCACAAACTCTTTGCCCTTGGAGGGTACGCTGCCACCACCAAGTGATTTAATAAAGAATCAGGCAAAGGACCATTTGGAGTTCCTGTTCCCCCAAAATATCCCCCCAAGCCTTACACCCCCTTTCCTGGGAGGTTTGAGAACAAACAAGATGAGCACAGACCAGGCTTGGGTTTTTAGGACCCTAAAACCCAATCAGATTCTTAAAAAACAGAACTTTATTAGAAGAACAAAAAAAGATAAAGAAACACTCTTAAGATTAGAATGGAAGATAATCTCACAGGCAGTCAGATTCAAAACATAGAGAATCCCTCTAGACAAAACCTTAAGTTACAAAAAGATACCAAAAAAAAAAAAAATACACAGCACAGCGAATTTCACAAGCCAAAAAAACAAAAGAAAATCTAACACATTTTCTAGTTAAATTACTTACTAACTCTATAGGAGCTGGATTGCTTGCTTGCTTTCTTGATCTGTCTCCAGCAGAGGCATCACACAGACAGACAAAGCCTTCCCCCCACCCCCAGATTTGAAAGTATCTTGTCCCCTTATTGGTCATTTTGGTCAGGTGCCAGCCAGGTTACCTGAGCTTCTTAACCCTTTACAGGTAAGAAGATTGTATAGTACTGTATCAGAGCTTCTTAATCCCTTCCCTTTATATTTATGACAACAGTGGTCACTTCTGGCTTTATAATTGATGAATTAGGAAGATGGACACAATCTGCTGTAAGTGACTGCTTATTTAAGACAGGGCCTTTACCAACACATGGCAGGCTGAAGCAGAGTGCTCTTGGTTTCATCTTCCTGAAGGGCAGCTCAGCTTTTGGGAGTTTGGGCAACACAGTTCTACACAGAGACTGCTTTTATACCACTGCCTGTCTTGTGTGGGACTATTGTTATAGCATCCACATCTCATCATGGGTTTTAACTCATGCACAGAACTGAGGCAGGCTTTGTAGTAAGCTTACTGGCACGTAAGCCATGGAAATGTATGACCTTTAGTTTTTCTTGAGTTGCTGAGAAACTGGATAGTTCACCTGTTGGGCTGGTTCTTGAGATGGTTAAATCCCCAGGCAGAAGATCACAAAAGGCATAAATATACAATTGTTAGAATGAATAATGAAAGAACTGCTTGTAAAATAAATTGTGGCCAACAGTTACAAAGCAGATGCAGCGGGGGCTTGTTCCTCCTCGAAATGAGATAAAAACAAAGGGCAAGAGCAGCACGGAGACGTCATCTAGTGCTATACATGCTGGTTTTGGAAGTGAATGAACAGCGCAGCTTGTTGAACTTCTGGAATTAAAAAAAAAAATGCTGCTGTGTATGTTAAAAAAAAAAAAAAAAAGAGGCAATCCAGAGGCAGCTGCTGACCAATTCCAACTCAGACGAATGATTCCCTCTCGGTCTACTTGGGAAATGCCATTTGTCCAAGGGCAGGCTTGGGAGGAAAACCAAATCTAAAAAGCGAGCATCTGCTGTAAACCGTGTTTTAGCTGAACATTTGAAGGAAGCACAAAAAATACTTGGGGAGCAAGGAACGCAACTGGCAATTGCTAAATTGTCTTGCGGATCCCTGACCTTGAAGAGACCCCAAACCAACCTGACTAGTCCCCTCCAAATTACCTCCCTTCCAGCCAAGTGAATTCTGGGTGCCACATCGCCAGAGGATGCTTATATAAAAGTAAAATCTGCAGCAACCATCAGCTGCAATAGGCAACAATGTTCAGCAACTATTTTAAAGTATCCCCAAGGATTCCTGTACACGTGTTTGACTTTTAACAGCCAGTCTCAAGTAAAAACCCAACTGTTGCTCATCACCGAAGATCAACTTCGGCATACAGGGTGACCAGATAGCAAGTGTGAAAAATCTAGACACTTTTTTTCAGGGAGGGGTGGCGGAAGTATAGTTGACATATATAAGACTAATATCGGGACATCTGGTCACCCTATCAGCATCCAATGTTTATAGTTTATTTGTATATATAGTCTTGCAAAATTGGCAAGAAAATGTACCAGCCAGGGCAAAAATCTCATAGCCCATCCCAAACATCAAGACACACAACTGGCCCCCACACATACTGCACGCACATCCAGACATTGACTTTCTCACAAGCATGTGCACACACATGCACACAATTCAACAGGAGTTAAAATGCACTTTACACTCCCAGAGCGGGGCAGTTTGAAATTTGTAGTTTTATTTAACTTAGTATGAAAACACACCTAGATTGCATAAGCCCCATTGCTTCTCAGGTCTTTCAGGGTACATCTACCCTGCAATTAGACACCTGCGGCTGGCCCACGCCAGCTGACTCAGGCTCCAGCTAAGGAGCTGTTTAATTGCAGTGTAATGCTTGGGAGACCTCTGGGACCCTCCCATCTCACAGGGTCCTAGAGCCCAGGCCCCAAGGCGAGCCCAGATGTCTACACCACAATTAAACAGCCCCTTGGCCTGAGCCCCGTGAGCCCATCAGCTGGCACGCACCAGCTGCGGGTGTCTAATTGCAGGGTAGACATACCCTTGGAGTACACCCAATTCTGCTGCTGCAACCAGAGCTGCCCATTTTGGCCCCCTCAGCAGACCTTCAATCCTTAAAGGGAAAGGGCACAGCTAAATCTGACCCTGTATAACACACACACACACCATTGCCATGCACACTCTGCTCAATCCCCTGGCTCAGCCAGACCCTAACTGAGTCACCAGTCACCCCCCACCAAATTCCTCTGCTCTCCCCTCTGACCAGCAGCAGCTCTTCGCAGCTGTCTCCTCTTCCCCAGCCAGGCCTAGTCTCTTCCCCTGTGCCAAGCGCCTCTGTGTTCCCATCGAAGCCCCAGGCAGCACTGCAGCCGCAGTTGCTGTGGAGAAGCCCAGGGCTCTGCTGCTCTAGCCTTCCTTGCTTAAGGAGGGGGCCACAGGAGTTGCTGGGATCTCTTTTCTTCCTTTCCCTCTGCCTGAGTGGGCAATGCTGGAGCTGGGCATGCAGGCTGTAGCATGGCAAAGCAGCAGCTTTCTGGGGTTTACCTTCATGTGGCTGGGGGCAGGAAAGAGGCCTGGCCCAAGGGAGGGGAGTGCAGAGGAGCCCAGCCCCTTAGGTCAGTCCAAGGTTCATGGAGCCAGGAGGATGCAGCTAAAGTAATGGCAGATGCACCTCCCTGCTGCTGGGGAGTGGAGACAGTGAAGCTCCCCCTATAGGCTGAGCCGCGTAACTGCAGCACCTGCTGCATTGGTTGTACTCCATTTTTTTATTTTTATTTTTTTAAAATTTGCAACTGGAAATGGCAGAAACTCAAAGGAAACTGAGATTTTGCAAAAAGAAAAGGAGTACTTGTGGCACCTTAGAGACTAACCAATTTATTTGAGCATGAGCTTTCGTGAGCTACAGCTCACTTCATCAGATTTTGCAGGAGCTGCTGTGACTGGTTCTGCTCACCTGGGGAAGCATCAGCTGAGCAGGGTTTCACAAAGCTTAACTTATCCTCATTGCAGAAGGACTGGTCATTACCACCTAGTCCAGGCAGAGATTCAGGCTTAAAATACACTGGAGGAATATACAATTATATGATATCAGCACAAGTCAGGAGCTGTGAATGTATGAGTCAGGGCTGCTCATAGTTAGGGCCGCCAACTTTGGTTGGACAAATTCCTGGAGATTTCATCACATGACCATCTTTAATTAAAGATTAATCTTTAATCCCTGGAGATTCCAGGACAATCCTGGAGGGTTGGCAACCCTACTCATAATTGCTCCAGCTTAGGGCTGTCGAGCGAGCCAAGAAGAGCCACACTGCAGCGTGCTCCCGAGCCCCTCCCTCCCTCCCTCTTCTGACAAACTAGTTATGGGGCCCAGTTACACCACAGGAGCAGCTCAAAGGGGCCCCAGTGAGACCATCTAAAGAGCAACACCACCCCTATTAGTGACCTTTCATTCCACCAGGTGAGGGACTTGTCTCCTCACCAGCAAAGCAGGAATCCCGGCAGTCTGAAAGCTGCACACAAGAAGAGTTAGCAAAAGCAAAGAACATCAGAGGTCTGGAAAATCCCAGGCACTGGCTGGCCAGCAAGGGGGTCCCATCATTTATAATAGTAACACAAGGCTGTGGGCCAAATTGGCTTGGAGACAGCAGGCCCAATTCTTTTGACTGATTTCAGCGAAGCTGCCCCTGCCCTGTTCAGCTTGTATCTTGCAACATTTGCAAACCTTGAGTGCTATAGAGCAGTGGTTCTCAAAGCTGATCCGCCGCTTGTTCAGGGAAAGCCCCTGGTGGGCCAGACCGGTTTGTTTACTTGCTGCGTCAGCAGGTTTGGCCAATTGCAGCTCCCACTGCCTGCGGTTCGCCGCTCCAGGCCAATGGGGGCTGCAGGAAGTGGCGTGGGCCGAGGGACATGCTGGCCACCCTTCCTGCAGCCCCCATTGGCCTGGAGCGGCGAACCGCGGCCCATGGGAGCTGCGATCGGCCGAACCTGCGGACGCGGCAGGTAAACAAACCGGTCTGGCCTGCCAGGGGCTTTCCCTGAACAAGCGGCGGACCGGCTTTGAGAACCACTGCTACAGAGCAACAAAAGAGCTTTGTGGGACAGACACCTGCTTCCTGGAAAGGAGACACTTTTCTTGTGGGTGTCCACACTTTGAAACATCTTGTTTTTAGAACCGTGTCTTTGGCCCCATCCACCTCTATATCCCTTTGTTTAATTGTATCCTGGATGCTGCTTTTCATGGAGCCTTTCCAAAGTGGCTTAATCCATCAAAATCTATTAAAATCATATCTATTAATGTTACATCTCAGTGAAGAGACCAGGACCAATTTAGCAGCCCTTGGGAATGCAGCAAAACAAATTAAGTGCTCAAAAATTGCCTACTTGTGCGAAAAGAGAGAGGCACTTCCTCTATGAGAGCAGCTAATTGGAACCATTCAGTCTAGAGACAAATCTGTTTTTATATCATGGTTATTATTTACATAGGATCCTTGGACTTACCACACCAGGTCCGGTCGTCTAGGCGGTGCTCCTGTTTCCAGCATCTGTTGTTTCAGGGGATTGCAAAACCAGCATTAACCCACATTACAGCTAGTCAATGGGGGCAATTATCTACATTGTGGGGAAACAGCTTCTTGAGCCTGGCAAGTGATCAGCTCACACCCTGCTATAAGCTTCCAAACTGTAGTCCATGTCCAACTGGGGCTCTGCCAAGCACTTGCTGGTGTGGTTTGCAGAGAGCTGGCTGCACTGGATGCTTACCTGTCTCCTTGTTCCCACCTTTTGATTGGTCTTTGGTCATAATGCCCCTGCTCTGTAGTTGCCCAATGGAGCTTCAACAACATCCAACTCTCAAATCACAAACCACAGACATCAAGAAATTGAATGATAAAACAACAAATCATGTCCGAACCCTCAGCACTATATTAAAAACAGATACACAACAACTGAAGACAAAACCCTCACTCCATGACTCATCCCACTTCACAATTATTTCTCTTTTCAAAAAACTGAATTCAAGTCAGTCAAATGTCAGTTTAAACTGTCAGTAAAGAATAGGGTGACCAGATGTCCCAATTTTATAGGGACAGTCCCAATATTCGTAGCTTTGTTTTCTATAGGCACCAATTACCCCCCACTTCTTGTCCTGATTTTTCAGCCTTGCTATCTGGTCACCCTAATAAGGAACCTAAGAGCCTCCTAAATTAGAGACTGACTTGCCCAAATGCAATTTCTTCAACACTACTTGTGTGGCAGAGCCTACAGCAGAGATGGGCAAACTGCAGCCCATCCTGCCTGATCCTTGAGCTCCCAGCCGGGGAGGCTAGCCCAGCCCCCGGTCCTTCCCCTGCTGTCCCCCATCTCCTGGCAGCTGCAGCTCTCTGTGCCACCAGTGCTCTGGGTGGCTGGGCTGTGAGCTCCTGCCGGACAGCGTGGCTGCAAGAGCTATCGGCCTGCCCCGCTGCTCTAGACTGCGTGGCAGCATGGCTGGCTCTGGCCAGGTGGCTCGGCTGCCAGTCCTGGTGCTCTGAGCAGCATGGTAAGGGGGTGGGGTTGGATAATGGCAGGAGGTACCGGGGGGCAGTCAGGGGACAGGGAGCAGTTGGATAGGGTGGAGGTTCTGGGGGGTACAGGGATGGTTGGATAGGCGTGGGAGTCCTGGGGACCTGTCAGAGGGCGGGGGTGTGGACAGGGGGCGGGGCAGTCAGGGGACAGGGAGCAGGGGGTGTTGGATAGGGGATGGGGCTCCAGGGGGGCAGCTAGGGGTGGGGGGGGTCCCGGGAGGGGGCAGTCAGGGAACAAGGAGCAGGGGGGTCTGGATGGGTTGGAGGTTCTGAGGGGGGCAGTGAGAGGGTGGGAAGTGGGAGGGGGCGTAGGCCAGGCTTTTTTGGGGAGGCACAACCTTCTCTACCCGGCCCTCCATACAGTTTTGGATGTGGCCCTCAGGCCAAAAAGTTTGCCCACCCCTGGCCTACAGCCTCCCTTGCAGGGCCAAAGGAGAACAATTTATGAGGCATATGAGTCAGTCAGGGCTAGCCAAACCAAAGACAAAGGGCTTGATTCTCAGTTACCCTAGGCCCCTCAACACTTCTGCTGTGGTGTAAAGGGGCCTTAGTGTAAATGGGAATCAGACCAAAAGTTTTAAATAGTCTCATGACAAATTAAGCTCTCTGTATTAGAGAGGTTTCATTGCATGGCAGCTCTGCCGGCACAACCGTGCCAGTTCAGCTGTTATCCAGAGAGTCTTACCAACAAAGTAGAGATAAAACTTATATTTCTATTTAACAACCAACCCAACAGAAGTTCCCTCCAGCAGTTCTGGACTTAACTGAGCCCCCGTGAGACGCTCCTGAGTGTCATGAGGACGTGCTGTTCACTCGGGGGCAGCAAGAACAGAGTGGATTGAGAGGATGCCAAGGCCTGGTGCAGGGGGGAGCTGGGATGGTAAGACTTGGCTGATACGTAAATTGTTACTTTGTCTATATCTGAGATCCAGTCATTCATGTCCCTGACCAGAAGAGGCTTTAGCAACAGAGAGGATGGAATCTGCCTTTCCCTTTACCCCATGGTCCCAGAAGGTATTAGAGAGCAGGCCAGCCAGGTTATTGCTTCTGCCCATTGCTTTGCTTAACAGTTTAGTGAACCTGCTCATGTGCAGGTTCACTAAACTGCTCTAGATCATTTAAAAACCAAGCCTCAGGCCAAACCCCATTGAACACCACCTACTCCCAGCTCATCTATGAGCAGGGGACATGGAAAAGGGAGGTGGAGCTTTAAAGGGATTGGTTTAACAGGAACACGTGAAAAGAGAATGTAGAAAAAAATCACGCATTTCAATATCCTGTTCCAGTGTATTGCAGGGAACATTTTAGCTCTGAATGTCCCTAAAAAAAAGTACCCTCTCCGCTGCCCTTCAGGGTATTTCAAGCATTCTCCAGTGACCAAAGCATGCTGGCAGTTCTGCATAATGCTTAAATCCAATGGATCCCATACTAACTTACAATATAAAATGCACTGGCAACAATCTAAGCTAACATGAAAATCCAGAAGTTGATTAACAAGGAGCAGACTGATTTGATAAAGGACAACACAAACAGTTAAGCTCTTTCGGGGCCCGACCATATTTTCATCTGGCTTCGTACTGTACCTTGCAAAATAAAGGGGCCTCTGGCTGCTCCTGCAGTACAAGTAATTACTGCTGATAACATACTGAATTGTGATTCAGAATCTCTGCTTTCCTTGGTGCTCACAAGACCCCTCAGCTGGTCAGATCATTACACCCGCGGAAGGCATGTGATGACCAGAACACATTTTCAAGGGCCAGGCGCGAGTTCAGTTTCATTCTAGGGGCCTGAATCAAGACAGAGGAAGTGATTCCTGTGAAATGCAGGGAGATTCCACATTAACATTCCACATTGGGGGTTGGACTTGCTGACCTCCTGAGGGCCCTTCCAACCCTGATATTTTACGATTAAGTTGTGTTTGGGGGAAGTGAAGCCATCAGCACAGCCCCCACATGCCATCTGCTCCCAGGGGATGGAGGTCAGAGACCCTAGTTTCAGGATCAGGCTTGGGCCAAGGAGAGCTGTCTACATCAGACCCAGCACTGTGACATTTGGTTGCCACAGATTGTGTATCACAGGAGGTGCAACCACAAGGTGGGGGAGGGGGAACATCCCTTCTCACCACCATTTTGTTTTGCTGTAGATGCCCCCCCGCTGCGGCGCAGGATCATGCAGTCTCCCACCTGGGTCTCCCCCCACACATTGTTTCCAGTGTGATTGCACATGGGTTTACTGACGACTTTGTAACTCGGACAAGAACAAAGCCACGCTGGGAGGATGAGTGGCGCACAGCAGCCACTCAGTTCTGTGACTTAGAAATACACACTCTCTCTCTCTCTCTCACCTATGACATCTGCAGAGCAGTATTCTACAGCTGCAGGTCCATAAGTCATTTCACGGCCCCCCTCCGTGACGTTGTGGATATCTCAGAAATACAATCAACAGGAGGAAAAGTCCAACACTGAAGGTTCCATGCAAAAGGCATGGGGGAAACTGGGTGTTCCAAGGGTGTTTATGGAGCATGAATCTGGGTTGAAGAGGACTGCTGCTGGGATGGGTTGAGACTCTTATGTGGAGGAGGTGCTGCCCTGCATTCCCAGCCATTGCGCCTCACCTCCCACTTAATCGGACAACCAGGTCAAACCGGCAGCAGGGTGTTGACACACAGGAGAGGACGACTGGTATCAGGCAGGAGCTGGAGCACTCGGTCTCCTGTGTGCGGCCAGGAAGCGATTAGCAGAGGAGCATACAGCAGCTGGTATTCGCCCGCGCAGCTTCCCGAGGCGTTGACTCTTATGACAGTACTTCCCAGCTGCCGCAAAGGGGAGTCTCTGTCCAGGACTCCACCTGGATGACTTGCGGGAGTTCCCCTCTGCTCAGCTAGCAGAGGGTACCGGACCTAACCGGGCAGCGTTGCCCTACTTACCTACTCATTATTTTGAGAAGAAAATATTGAAGTTGGCTGGTATTCAGGCTGGAAAATTGCCATTGGGTGGGGATCAGGAATGTCAAAGGGAGATTGCTTTATGGCAGCTGCATGCAACTCACGCAGCCTCACGAACACGGGAAAACTCAACACAGGCTGGGACTGGAGGGGGAAACAACAATGCCCTTGGCTAGACAGAGGCCTGCCAGCTGTCTCAGCCACGAAGGAATGTTCTCTTCTCCTCCCTCAGGCTGCTTAATCTTACCCTTCTACCTGCGCTCCCAGCTGCCTCTGCTCAGTACATACATGGCAAGCCATGAATGCTCACAAAATTGGGGGGTTGAGGGGTGGGAGGGGGTGCGGGCTCC